TATGAGGAAAAGATTGATTTATTTCAAGATCTTGAGGACTCAAAAAGTTTACTGCCATATTTTCTTTCTCAGAAACTTCTAGAAAACGTGCTGCACTAAAAAGAGTAAACCAAGAAAGATGAAAACCTGTGTTCCATGAAACAGAGAGTGTAAGGAAAGGAATCCTCCAGGATGATGATAAAAGGAGATCCCAAGACAAAAGCAGCACAGTAAGACTTAAATTCACGTAATTTGGCAAGTCAGAATGCTTTGGGAGAGATTTCCTCAAGAAGATAAAATTGTTCAAATATTAATGTGTTTGATGAATTAATAGGAAAGTATTTCTAACTGGGAAAGACACTGTGGCTGAATTAATGGCAAGTATACATATAAATAAGCAAAGAAAAAAACAAGACAATTATTAACCTTATGGGGGAAAATGCTGTGAAGGGTGAAAAAAAGGATCAAAACACATGAGTTCAATTGTAATAGCACTAATGAAAACACTGATAATTAATAAAAAAAATTAACACTATTGGAAATTTAGGGTAGGGTGGATGTGGTGCAGGTATAGTAGGTAGCAGGAGTTGAAACTGAACTAGATCTTTATCTACCACAGTAAAAAGTAAATAGATAATGCCCCCCAATGGAAACTCAAGAAGAAACATTATAAGAATGGTTAGAGATTTGCATATAAATAACAACAGCCCCCACCCAGAGAGCAGGGACTACTCGTGTTTGTGGATTTAATTTAACTAAAAACTGGCTCAAAAGCCTCTCTGAGAATCAGTTTCTTCAAGCGTGAAATGGGGATAATCTCTACCACGCAGAATTATTGTAAAGATTCAAATAATGCGTGCAAATTGCCACGCGAGTGATTGACACAGGGAGCTGGGAAAGAATAAGAAGGGGCTAAGGATGTGATTTGTAATAAGCAGTGAGGAGCTAATGGGCCCTACTGTATATGCTGTTTATAGCATCCACTGATCATGTGCAGCCCAAATACTCTGAAACAGCCATGATTTCAAGGCAACTTTCAGGTAAAAAAATCAGAATTTGGAGAAAAAAAATTCTACTTACTGAATGATGAGGAGCACATTCTTTGAACTCCACTAGGCCAGAAGCTTCAGGAACTTGGCTTTTTAAAATTACTGCTATGCGGTGCCAGGGAGCTGGACACATTACATACCACAGAACTCGTCTGATGCCAAATTAGGAACATGCTTTTTTTAAGGAACATTTTTAGGAAAAATAACTCAACACTTTTTAAAAAGGTGATTTGATATTTAAACAAAATTCGGAAAACTATGTATTTATCTGTTTTACTTACTATGACTTTTGAAACACTGATTCAGCGAAGGACAGGATGGTCCGGAAGATTCCTTTAAGAAATGCAGGTCGGAAATAGTCTGCATTATTATGTGCAGGGTCCATATCACTGAAGCATCTCACCAATAAAGAATAAAAACGAAAGTAACCCTCCAGGAATGAGTTGTGATGGATTGAATCGTCTTTTAGGAGTTAAGGGTCTCGTGATAAACTGAATCGAGGACTAAGAGTAATTCACTGTTGGAAAGTGGAAAAATGATGAGCACACTGTAAAAATTAAACCTAGTCATGTTTTGAAAGTTTAATATAGTTTTTATAAAACTGAATTTGCAGTATTGAATACATGAATTTATATTTTTGTGACCTAAATGACCTTGCACATTTAAATAATTAATTGCATGCCAGAAAATGCAATTAGCTTGATTCTAATTTGAATACTATGTACAATGTAATTCAAGCACAAATTCTGAAGTAGAGCCCACAGAGTTGCTGTGCAGTCAAGCTGAACTCTCTTCATAGTATGGAATTGTAGAAATTTTTCATAATACAGATAGAATATAAGCCACCTTCTCCATAATCTCATTCTTTCTGCAACAGAAATAATCCATTTTGGCCCATCCTCTCTATACAAACAGGCTCTTCAGTACTGAGACAACTAAATACCTTTCTTAGGATTTAAAGCTATATATGGATGAATTCAAAGCCACAAAAGGATTTTTCAGAAATAACTAATGATAAAATATCCTTATTTTTAATTTGTATATACTTACAAAACTATTCACATATTGCTGAGAAGAATATTTCAATTGAAGATAGACATTATTAAAATAATCATATTTCTTTTATTCACATCATTTTGATAAATAGAATGAAATATTTTACCATGACAGGAGCTATACCATGAAAATCCCACAAAAGGGACTAGTTTCCAGTTGGTAAGTAGAGTTATTCAGTTCAATGAACATATTACATTTTGCTTTCCAATAGTCACCACATTGGTGGGCTGACAATTATCCTGGCTTCTGTTGACTTTTATTCTATTTGATTTGAGTTCTTGTAACTTCCTGGAATGGAAATACCAGAGATTTATGTTTTATGCAGTCAATAAAATTCATTACTTTTCACTGCTGAGAAAACATGTCATATACAGATTGAACAAATGTTACACGAAATCACTTTGATAAGAAGTCCTGCAGGCTGAAATATACGAGACGGAGATGATCTTTCTTGGAATGATCAGTGTCAAAAAAATCAGCAAAAAGAGAAGAAAAAGCAATTCTTTATTTTTATCCAAATATATCAGACTTCATAATTTAGTTAGTTTCAACAAAAACATTGAGTCACCATATAATGTATCATCCAAACCAGGACATAAGAAGAGTGAAAGGGAGTGCTATTACTAATTACACAGATACAAGAGGTATAAACTGCGTTCCAGTCCCCGGGGAAACTGGGACCTCCGATCAACTTAGCAATATGCGCTAAACTGCAATTACATGCAGAAATCATACCTTTCCCATACATATGTGGAAAAGATAAAGGAATAGCATCACTGAGAAAAATTAATTTTGGCAACAGTGGTTCTTTCTCATTATGCAGATGTCTGTTGAAATATCACTCCCTCCCTAAGCCAGTCACCTCTTCTAAAATAATCAATTCTTAGTCCACCTAGTCATTTTCCATTTTGATGTCTTGTTTTTCTTACCTTAAACTGATATTTTGAGTATCTGAAATGATCTCATTTGTGTTCTGTCTCCACAGGGCCCCTCCCCACTCTCCTAACAATACGCAGTGTTCAAATGGGCAGCGACCTCCTCTGACTTAGTCATAGCCAAACCTCCAGGACCTAAAACTGCCTAGGACATAAAAGGCATGCAAAAATTTTGTTGAATGAATGAGTGAATACATTCAGAGAGTTTGTTTTTGGTCCCATATTCTCCTTGGTACCAAAGACAATAGAATGACTCCTCAAATTAAATTATGGCTCTGTTTAGTGTTAAGTGTTTGGACTAAATGATCTATGGAGTTTCTTCCACTGATAATAAATGTCTCATGCCCCCTAGACCCCCTTCTCTCTCTGCTATTAGTTCATTTTCTATAACCAGCAAATGGGATCAAGGGGTAGAGCAACTAGCTCTATTCACAGTGGATGAATGCTCAAGGTTGATCATTTTGCCAGTAACAGTTCCCTGGGATATGTTTGCACCTACAAAATTTGGTTGATACAGAGGTAGCCAGAAGGTATTATTGAAGTTATGATAGAATTGTTGATGTAATCATTTTCCAATAAGAAAATCATCACAGGATTGCTAAAAAATGGGAAATGATGGGAGCCCAAACCAGCCATTAAGGATTTAGATATTAATAAGGAGAAATAGCTTAATTCTGGAGAGACTTACAATGCAATGCCCAAAGAAATTTTATAGGAAAATCCATGATATTTTGATAAGGAACACTTATAAATTTTCATAAAAATCTCTGCATTCCAAATCTTTATTTTGTAGGTGTTCTTCTGAGCAATAGTTTTTTTTTTTTTTTTTTTTTATTTCCACTAATGAGTAATAAGTATCAGATCTTGGGGTTAGAAAAATAGTACTGCTAAAATTACTTTGGTAGGCCAGGGATCCAAGACACCCATAAAGTCAGTGTTTACCAAACAAACAAGCAAACAAAAAAAGCCCACATGGGTAAAATATCTTCAATTCATCTAATTTAAAATTCTCTCAGGTATATACAGAACATTCTTCCTGAATGGAGTGACAGGCATGGGTGGGATAGGTTCCCCAGATGCGGGAAAAAGTCTGTCCTGATACAATAAATGCCACAAACAAGAGAACAGCATTAAAAAAGAGACTCATTTAGACATACATATTTTAAGCATAAATATTTATCATCTGTTTCATTGTGTTGTTGTATCTCCTCAAAATAAATTATTGGTTTTTAAACTGACAGAAATTTCAGAAAAAAGAGTGGAAATGTTACCAATTGACTCAGTTTGAAACAGGGAACATTAATTATGTAATTTCAAGCAGATTCTGATATATTCAATGTAAGTTGGCTACTGATGATTACAGTGATTCAGCATTTGTTCAGAGCTCATGTTTGTGTTAGATCATATACAAAACAGATTTCCAGACTTCAAGTAGTCCAGAAAAGGACCAATTCTCAAATTAACCAATTTTTCCCTAGTACTAGCAACTTTTAAAAATCATAAGAAATTTTTAGCATACTGGTATGCTCTAAAATTTACAAGTTAAATATATAATGGTTATATTTATGCGGGGCCAAAAATAGCATAGACTCGTGTGACTCCCTCATATAAAGTACAATTGATAACCTCCCAGGACCTTAAACAGCAGAAAACATTAAATCAGATTTTAAAATGACAAATAATTTAAGGCTAAAATATTTGGTATTAATAATTAATGCCAGAAGCCTTCCTAGCCTAATAAAGTAAACATGCACAAGAACTACAAGTTTGAACAAAACATCACAATTTTATCGGATATATATATGTATGTATGTATGTGTGTGTGTGTGTGTGAGTGTACATATATATATATATATGTGTGTACACACACACACACACATATATATAGTTTTATCGCCCTGAAAACTATCCACTCATGTTTGGCTTAATATATATGTTAGAAATGTCGTGAAGAGTACCACCTCTTTAAATATATATATATTTTTTTCCATAATATACAATATAAATATACCATATATAAATCATGCCATAAAACTAAATGCAAAATTTGCACATTATTGCATGCTTGATGTGATAATACATGCCCGTTAATAAGAACTTTCTTAGGATGTCTTCCCTTTACATAACTTTTGCTTTCTGCACAGTGGCAATACTTGGGAAGAAAGGGTTCTCAAATAAGCATATATGACTGGGGGGGTGGGAAATGTACCTTTCGGATTCCTTCGAGAATTACCTCATCAGCCAAATATTGGACTATTACTAAATCAAACAGCAAATAATGCCAATGGGGGTGTTTTGTTATGTGAATCGATCAGAGTTCATTTTTCTCAATTTGGCTGGGAGATTCCCTTCCATCCTTGCTGCTCCTCCAGCCATCTTTTGAAGCTTTGGTGGCAAGTCAGCCACGGACTGGCTCATGGGGTCAGACAACATCTTGGTGGTTTTCGATACCAGTTTTTCTTCTGAGTTACCGGGAACTGAACTTATTCGTTGAAGTTTCATGGGCAAATCTCCCAAGCTGTAGGCTTTTTCTGAAGTTGTAGAACTCATCCTCAAGAGTTTTTTGGGAAAGTCTTCTCTTCCGGTAATTTTCTGCAGTTTAGATGGAAGTTTTGTAGTAATGTCATCTAGTCCATCTAAGCATTCCACAGAATTATGTCTTTCTTTGCTGTTAGTTATGGCTGGTGCTATTAAAGGGGATGACATAAGAAGCATCTCCTCCTGTTCTTTCACACTATAAGGTGGGGTGGGGACTTCAAATGTCGCATGGAACTGGGAGTAATCGACTTTAAAGAACCCTTCTTCTAAGGAAATCACAGGAAAAAAACGATGACCCCAAAGAACTTCATCTTCAGTGTAAGATGTTCGAGCTTGACAAGTCATCCCTATAAGCAAAAAGAAAATCTTTGATAAATTATGCGTAGTAGAAGGAAATACAAAGCCAGTTTGACCTAAGGAATTCATTTTGCTTTCTTATTTAAGTTTTGAACTGTTTGTCTAAGTAAACTGAATAAAAGAATATGTTAAAAGTTTTCATGTTAATAGTTTTGATACATATACTTTCTTCCAATGAAAAATACAGGGAGCCTTTACTGTACATGTTCGGGGGGCAGTACATCGAGGCCTAATTAATTGCTTTGCATCCATGAACCAAAAGTAAAAATGGCACAGACCAATTGCAGAACATATGTGTCTCTAGAAGAAGTGGAGAAATCACAAAATCATTTTCCCTTGTTCACGAAGCCGTGTGATAATATGAAACAGACCTGACTTCGCATCCAAACTTTACCACTGTGTAAACTTAAGAAAGATACTTAACTAAGTATCATTTCCCTCTTCTGTAAAGAAGACTGAATATACCTGCATCACAGGACGGCTGAACACGAAATCAAATAACATACAAAAATGTAAAATGTGTCATATAATGTCTTATTAAATGGGGAGCAAATATAACTATCTCAAGTATTTGCTTAATTAATGAAAGTTGAAAATATTGGGCGCCTGGGTGGCTCAGATGGTTAAGCGTCTGCCTTCGGCTCGGGTCATGATCCCAGGGTCCTGGGATCGAGTCCCGCATCGGGCTCCCTGCTCCTTGGGAGCCTGCTTCTCCCTCTGCCTCTCTCTCTCTCTCTCTCTCTCTCTCTCTCTCT